TCTGAGAACCTGACAGCATCATAAAAAAGGGCCAAAGCTACGTCAATAAAAAAGTCCATGACTACATTTAACCACAAACACTGCAGAGGCTACTAATGTGCTGGACCATAACATTATACTGAGGGACACGGAGGAGAAGGAGAGAGATTGTGGACCTTGCACACCGTATCTAACTCAGATGTACATAATGGAATGTCTAACACCCTAGAAAGTAGACTATTCTCCCGCTCAGCATTAGAGGGTCAGCCTCTGCCTACGAAGACAGAAAGGGGAACAAGCGCTAATCCACCAGAGGCAGAAGGCTCAGAAAAGCCTTCACCATGGAGGTCCACACATGAGATGATACACCTTGAAAAGATGAGAGGAGGACAGAAACTCCAGGAAGAGGGAATATAAGCCAGCTTGACAGGGAACATTCTGCAGCGAGAGTGTTTGAGAAGCGCGAGACTGAGCTGCGGCACGGTGGCTCACACCTGATAATTCCAGCACACACTTGGGAGCACAGGCGGCAGATCACAACATGAAGGTCAGGCAGTATTGAACGCCTGGCCAACATAGGCGAAACCCCACCATCTACATTCAAAAATTAGCCAGGTGTGGGTGGTTCCATCGCCTGTAATTCTTGTGGCTCACACCTGTAATCCCAGCACTTTGAGAGGCCGAGGCAGGTGGATCACCTGAGGTCAGAAGTTCGAGACCAGCCTGACCAACATGGTGAAACCCCATCTCTACTAAAAATACAAAAATTAGCTGTACGTGGTGGCGAGCACCTGTAATCTCAACTATCTGGGAGGCTGAGGCAGGAGAATCGCTTGAACCCAGGAGGCAGAGGTTGCAGTGAGCTGAGATTGCACCATTGCACTCCAGCCTGGGCGACAGAGCAAGACTCTGTCTCAAACAAAAAAAAAAAAAAAAAAAAAAATATTGCACAAGGAATCAGTCAGTAGTGGAGATAGTTCTAGAAGTGAAATGTCATGACTCTGTTTTTTCCAGTCTACTTCGTCGTTAAAACAACATCTAACATTTATTGTACACTTGCTGTGTTCCAGACACTGTTTTAAGTGTTTTTAACTCTATGTTATAGCTTGGAAACTAAGGCAGATCATTCAGATCTATTTTCCAATTCCACAACTCTGGGTTTTAGTATGGTTTTAATGACAGTCACCTCCTACGCAGTGGGGTGGAGCAGTTCTCCAAGAGCTTGCTCCCAGATCTCCGTGAGTGAGAAATGTTGTCCCAGCAATGTCTCCTTGTGTGTTGGAGAGCGATCCCAAGAAGAGTCCAGAGTGTATTGGAAGAATGGATGAAGGAATGAAACAAGCCCACATGAGTATTAGTGGATCTTACTTTAGGAATATTCATGTACTTCAAAAATTCCCTATTTATCAAGTCAGGCAGTAAATGCAGTTTTAGAATGAACTCAGTCCAGGACCTTTCTGTAAAGATTCCCAGTATAGGATGGAAAGATTCAATTCAATAAGCACATATTGAGCTTGTAATCAGTTACTCTGCCCTTGGCCTTGGGAAACAGTGGTTCCTCCCATCTGGGGACCAGCAGCTATAAATGCACATTTTCCCTTGCCAACAGCCTCAGCATGTGGAAGAGAAAGTTATTTCTTGATCACAGAAAAAATATACATGGTCGAAGGTAGAAGGAGCTTGGGAACCAACCGTCTGGTTCTGCCACCATTTTATAGATGGGGAAAGGACTTGATCGAGATTGCACAAGGAGTCCAGGTGTGTGGCTCACACCTGTAATCCCAGCACTTTGAGAGGCCGAGGCAGGTGGATCACCTGAGGTCAGAAGTTCGAGACCAGCCTGACCAACATGGTGAAACCCCATCTCTACTAAAAATACAAAAATTAGCTGTACGTGGTGGCGAGCACCTGTAATCTCAACTATCTGGGAGGCTGAGGCAGGAGAATCGCTTGAACCCAGGAGGCAGAGGTTGCAGTGAGCTGAGATTGCACCATTGCACTCCAGCCTGGGCGACAGAGCAAGACTCTGTCTCAAAAAAAAAAAAAAAAAAAAAATATTGCACAAGGAATCAGTCAGTAGTGGAGATAGTTCTAGAAGTGAAATGTCATGACTCTGTTTTTTCCAGTCTACTTCGTCGTTAAAACAACATCTAACATTTATTGTACACTTGCTGTGTTCCAGACACTGTTTTAAGTGTTTTTAACTCTATGTTATAGCTTGGAAACTAAGGCAGATCATTCAGATCTATTTTCCAATTCCACAACTCTGGGTTTTAGTATGGTTTTAATGACAGTCACCTCCTACGCAGTGGGGTGGAGCAGTTCTCCAAGAGCTTGCTCCCAGATCTCCGTGAGTGAGAAATGTTGTCCCAGCAATGTCTCCTTGTGTGTTGGAGAGCGATCCCAAGAAGAGTCCAGAGTGTATTGGAAGAATGGATGAAGGAATGAAACAAGCCCACATGAGTATTAGTGGATCTTACTTTAGGAATATTCATGTACTTCAAAAATTCCCTATTTATCAAGTCAGGCAGTAAATGCAGTTTTAGAATGAACTCAGTCCAGGATCTTTCTGTAAAGATTCCCAGTATAGGATGGAAAGATTCAATTCAATAAGCACATATTGAGCTCTTGCTATGTACAAGACCCTGGTATTGAGAAATACACACAGAGGAAAACGACACATTTCCTGCCCTCCTATAAATAATTGTCTTCTCAGAACCTTCTCCCTCCAGTGTAGTTTGGAAGATAGATAAGTACATAAATAACTGAAATCAGACTGACTATGGTAAATGTAGTAAGGAATGTAAACAAAGTGGGAGTCTGGGAGAAGGAGAAATCAATCCCAGCATGATCAGAGGATTCCTGAAGGTGGAGAATTTATGCTGGGCCTTGGAGGGAGTTTATTCCTGGGAGAAGGAACAGCTTGAGCAATGGTTGAGAGGCAGAAATGCACAGGTGTAAGGGTGTGTGTGTGTGTGTGTGTGTGTGTTGTGGGAAGGGAGAGGAGTTAGTGAGAAGAAGAAATAAGCCGAAGTGGCAGGTTTTGGCTAAAATGTAGAGAGCGGAGTAGGGAGCAGAGCACTGGCATTTATCAAGTATCTCCTTTGCTTTGTGGCTTGCAGTATGCTGGATGCTTTACATACTATATTTAATTCTGTAATATAGGCCTATTTATCTCCAATCTAAAGATGAAGAAACCAGACCTCAGAAAGATTAAAGTGACTTCCCCAAGGTTAGATAGTTGGTAAGGGCACAGCTTGGTTCAAAACTAGCAGTGCTGAGTTCAAAGGCCCATGTTATCTTCCTTATGCTGCGAGACTCCAAATGCCCTGACTGGCGCTCTGTTTTCTCTGGCAGCCGGACGGAGGTTAGACTGGAGCAAAGATGGTCCCAGAATGGGGACATGAGTGAAGAGGCTTAAAACGGTGAATCACTGGCCTAGTTTGGAAGCTGCATGGACTAGGTCTGCTTGATAGGTTTAATAGGTGAGCATTTTGGCAGCACCCACAATGCCATAAATCAGTGCATTGCCATCCTTAGCTAGTAGAATCTTCGAACCAGTTTACAGAGGCTGCAGGACCCTGGTATTTCAGGCATGGGTTCTGATGGGAGATTGACAATTCATTACAAAAGGGTCTGTTGCGGGAGGCAGCCCATTTGGCACATCCTATCTCTTCATTTTCTCACCCTCAAATTCAGCAAGAGTCTGTAAGTAGGAAAGAGCACTAACTTGGAGTCCAGAGGCTGGCGTTCAAGTCCTGCATGTGCTCATTTTCATCTGAGAGTCCTCAGTCTGTTTCTTTCCTTTGTTTTTGCTGTCAGATTATTCCCTCCTGCAGCCAGTTGTGGTTCACAGAGTGGTTGTGTTGCTTTCCAGAGCCACAGTTGATCTGGGGAAGCCATGTCAGAAGCTGGAATAACAGTTCCTAGTTATTGAGTGCCTACTGTATGCCAGGCACTGGTGCCATGAGCTCCGTATACATTAGCTCACTTCATTCCCATGACAACTCTGTGATGTGGGTGTTAGTGCCCCCATTTTATAGATGCTGATAATCAAAGGAGTATTTCGGTTCACTTCTGAGGCCTCAACTCTTGCTAATGTCCTGACTTGGGACTGTATGAGGAAGAGCTGAGAATATGAACAGGATTCAGAGAGACTAAAGTTTATATTCCAGCGTCTCATCCTTACAGGGAGACAGTAGTTAGGTTTATGGACTCTAGAGTCAGACTACCTGAGTTTGAGTCCCGGCTCTGCCACTTGCTACCTGTGTGACTTGGGCAAGTTATTTAATCTTCCTGAGTTTCTGTTTCTTCATCTGTAAAATGAGAATACAAATATTACTTACCTCATGGGGTTGTTAAGAGAATTGAGATAAAACAGCACAGTGCCTGGCACATAGTAGGTGCTCAATGAATGTGAGCTTTAATTGTAATAATATTAACAAATATATGAATGCCCAGTTTGGTACTGTTTTTATAGAAAGTGTATTTATTAGGGCCATCTTCGCTTCCCCGGCATTGTTACCTTCTCTTTCTTTCCATTGCCCTATCAGGAACCTTTGAGATACTAGATTGTTCCAGCACATGGTTGCAATGTATAACCTGGCAGAAAGTGCCTGTAGGAAATGGGTCAATAAAAATCAGTGCCTCTTTAGAAAATCTTACCTGACTTGTGTTTTCCCCCACCTCTCTCCACAGTAAACAGGAACAGAGCAGCATATGTATTCCTTTTTGCACAGCCTTCAACAAAAGTGCCAAGCAAGACTCCTCCAATTCACTTGCCAAAAGTACAATAACAGTATCTCTGGAAAAGTGGTGCCTAATTTGGTTCTTCTTTCTGTCCAGCTTAAACCCTTCGGGCCTTACCTTAAGTCATTTCTTCTTGTTCCATTTTCCATAAATATGGAAAAGTTTCTTCTGATTATAAAGGGAGGATGAGATCAAGATTTTCTCATGATAACCTTTTCTGTACTTAAAGTCAGAATCCAGTTAGGCCTCATCTTTTCTTCTCCTGGCTAAACAGCCTTGGTCTCTTTAACCTCACTCTTAAAACCTATTTTCCATTGCTTGGATCACATTGGTCATGCCTCTTTTCTTTCTCTTCGGTTTTTCTGCTTTGTGGCAGTGACCCAGACTGTACTCGGTCTTCTAATAAGAGTGCAGCTAAAACAGCTTAAGGGAAGAATAACTTCAGCTGTTTCCATCCATTCATTAACAATTATGAAGTGGTTGCCCCATGTCAGAGCCTCTGCTAGGTGTAGGGGACCCAGAGATAAAGGAGACATAGTCTGTACCCTGTCCCTAGCTCACAGTCTAGGGGAAGACGTGTAATAAAATGTTACAGGTGATTTAATTATGCACAAGTGTGGGAAGCTGGGAATTGGTTAGAGCGATCAGGTGGAAATTCAGTCCCTTTTGACTAGACTGCAGGTTAAGACTCCCATAGAGGGTTGGTCTGGGACAAGATGATGGAGGCCCTGAGTGACAGCACAGAAGCTTGGTTACTCCAGGGGCAGTGGACACCCATTAGAAGTTTTAGAGCAAGGAAGTGACAAAAAGCGATACCATAAATCTTAGCCTTACCTGTGCCTCACTGATGTTTTCTTACTTGAAAGTAATGTGATGGATCTTTTGTTGGTATACATGGTGATTTTTTTTTTTTTTTTGGCTCTAAAACTTTTGTAGAAAGTCTAGTTCTTAAGCACTGAAGAAATTTAATTCCCAGTACAGCAAGAAATTCATGAACAATTGAGAGAGAATTGGGTGCCTCACCAGGCCCAGCCTACTTAAGACCCAGCTGAAGGCCAATCAATCCGTGTAGGTTTGGTCTGACCATGGTCACCCTTCCCCACCGCAGCCCTATACCAGCAGAAGGTACAGGAATGAGGAGAGGGCTGCAGGGTCCATCTGGGTAGTTGGTAAAGAATGCCAAGAATCTTTAAGGACTGTGAGAAGTAATTTTTGAGGAGGAAAAAGGGACTAGAGAAATTTTACATGGTGCCAGAAGGAATTAGGGCTAACCAGGCACTTAGAATCCTGTGGCATGTATCTGAAAACCTCCAAATTTTCTCTCTGCCTTTGTATTTGCTGTCAATTTATTCCCTCCTGCGGCCAATTGTGGTTCACAGAGTGGCTGGGTTGCTTTCCAGAGCCGCAGTTGATCTGGGGAAGCCATGTCAGAAGCTGGAATAAGAGTTACTATTGAGTGCCTACTGTATGCCAGATACTGGTGCCATGAGCTCTATATATATTAGCTCACTTAATTGCCATGACAACTCTGTATTGTAAGCGTTATTTCCCCCATTTTATAGATGATGGTAGTAAAGCTCAGAGAGGTTGAATTTTATGTGCAAGGCTACCGGGATGGTAGGTGGTAGGGCCAGAACTGGAACCTAGCACCTAATGCCCAAAAGCCCTGCGCTTTCTACTTCCCCAGCCTAAGGTGGCTCCATGTGGCGAAATACGCGAAGTCCGTAAGGAATTCTGAGGGTTTTTTTTCTACTGTAGGCCAAGGGTTCGCAAACTATGGCCCACAGGCCATATTTGACTCACCGCCTGTTTTTGTGTGGATGCAAACTAAGAGTACTTTTTACATTTTTACATGGTTGGGGAGAAATCAAGAAAAGATCAATATTTTATGACACATGAAAATCATATGAAATTTAAATTTCAGTGTCCAAAAATAAAGTTTTATTGACATATAGCTACATTCATTCATTTATATATTGTCTGCTGCTTTCTCTCTACAAATGCAAAATTGAGTCATAACAAAGACCATGTGACACACAAAGCTTAAAATATTTACCATCTGGCACTTTGCAGAAAAAAAATTGCCAACTCCTACCATAGGTAACAAGAAGGGACCAGGTGGGGATCTAAACCTATGACAAGACTAAAGACAGAATGAAAGCTCAAGGCCAGGTGTGGTGGCTCATGCCCATAATCCTAGCACTTTGGGAGGCTGAGAAAGGCAAATCACTTGAGCTCAGGACCTCAAGACCAGCCTGGGCAGCATGGCGAGACCCTGTATCTACAAAAAAATACAAAAATTAGACAGGCGTGGTGGCTCGTGCCTGTAGTCTCAGCTACTTGGGAGACTGAGGTGGGAGGATCACTTGAGCCTGGCAGGTGGAGGCTACAGTGAGCCAAGATCATGCCACTGCACTCCAGCCTGGCTAATAGAGCCAGATCCTGTCACTGAAAGGTGTTCAAGGCTGTCCCTGAAAGTGTGGTAGTAGAAATGAAGAGAGAGAGCATACCCTGAGTTTCCTTAGGCCCTGGAAATAGTTTCACTGGGTTTCAGTTTTGTTTGGGAATGAAGAGCATAGTAGGAAGGACTATCCACTGTGCTAACATCTTTATTGGACAGTAAAGAGATATTTTGTGTATGAAGTAATTCATTCAGATTCACTAGAGCCCATTTTTGCCAGATACTACGTTAGATGCTGGTAATGCAAAGATGAAAAAGATACGTGCTTGCCTTTGAGGAGTAACTGGCAGGGTGACATGATCTGATAGGGAAGAAGAGAAATCGGAGGAAGGAGGCAGTGGGTGGGGGTTGGACACAAGTCCTGCTTGGGACGTGTGGTTGAGGTCATGGTTGAAACACACCCAACTTCCGGTTAGAAAGCCTTTTTAGAAATTTTGGCATAAAAGCTCAGAATTCAGAGTTAAGTTGCATTTTCAGGGCTTTCCCACTGAGAAAAGGGGAAATGCATATTTATTTCATAGGGAAGTTGACAAAGCAACTTTGACTTGTGATAGCTAGAGCCATGATATTAAAATAACAGTGAACACAGAGAAAATGAAGTCATCAGATTGAAAACTAGCAATAATTATGTATTCAACACAAAACCTTGTTCCCATTCATGCCACTTGCTGCTGTCAGCGTCTACTTATCTTTCGGGCTCTGTTACCTCTTGCCTGTGAGACTTGGACTTGGCCACATTTTTCTCTAAAAATGTGGATAGCAGAGGAGTGCCTCACTCTGTCACCCTGGCTGGAGTGCAGTGGCATGATCTTGGCTTATTGTAGCCTCAACCTCCTGGGCTCAAGCAATCCTCCTGCCTCAGCCTCCCAAGCAGCTACAGATGCGTGCCACCACGCCTGGCTAATTTTAGTATTTTTGTAGGGATGGGTTTCACCATGTTGCCCAGGCTGGTCTCGAACTTCTGAGCTCAGTCAATCCATCTGCCTCAGCCTCCCAAAGTGCTGGGATTACAGGCATGAGCCACCACGCCCGGCCTGTCAACTTTTGCCTTTTGCCTGAGACTCCTCAGAGCAGAGGTGTCTATTTCTATCACCCAGGTCCAGTTACATCTTTTTGGGTCTGGAATCCCATAATGGAAACAGAATCTGAAAAATTTCACTCAGCCCTTTGTTAAATCTTCCAATGCTTAATGGTAGTGGGGATAGAGAGGAATTAGACACTGCCCCCTCCCAAATAATCATTGTTGATAATTTGGCCAGCCTGGGCAACATAACAAGACTCTATCTCTATAAAAAATTTAATTCAAATGTCTGATTTTAAAGATGAGAAATCTGTGATTGCCGTGTGTATATCTACTTAGTGGGGTAACTCATAGGTTTGGGGCATGTTCAGATTGATCTTTCTCTTTTCTGGTCCTTTTAAGTCAGCATTTTGATTTCCTTTCTATTTCTGCTTTTTCAAGGTTTCCATGTCAGAGGCCAGTGGAGAACCGAAGATTGCCAGCTACGTACAAAGGCCATTGAGACACTTCGTGTAGCTGGAAGACACCAACTCCCTGACAGGGGCTTTATTTCATTTGGGATTTCAAGTTTACAGACGGTATCTTCCCAAAAGTTGGAAAAACCTATAGGTAAGATTGGGTATACATTTCAGTTATCCTTAGATTACTTCAAATTGAAATGATCTGATACATCCAGAGGAAGGGGCAGGTAAGAGACCGTCTAGCAGATCATGGTTTTCAGCACTTAGTTGGTTAGCTAGGATTAGCAGAGCTGCCCTGGTACAACTCAGATAACGCTTAGTAGGAGGAACACATTTCTACAGAATGACATGGCAGGGGTCATAAGGAAAACATATAACTAAAACATATTTATTTACTTTTTTTTTTTTTTTTCTGTGACAGCCTCCCTCTGTCACCCAGGCCGGAGTGCAGTGGTGCAATCTCGACCCATGGCAACCTCTGCCTCCCGGGTTCAAGCGATTCTCCTGCCTCAGCTTCTTGAGTAGCTGGGATTACAGGCGTGCACCACCACACCCAGCTAATTTTTGTTTTTAGTAGAGATGGGGTTTCACCATGTTAGCCAGGCTGGCCTCAAACTCCTGACCTCAAGTGATCTGCCTGCCTCGGCCTCTCAAAGTGCTGGGATTACAGGTGTGAGCCACTGCACCTGGCCAGATCTATTTAATTATGAAATTAAAACTACTTCATAACAAAACAAGCTAAAAACAACAGAAGTATATGAAGCTCCGCTCTGCCTGGCTCCATACTAAGCAGTGGGGATAGAGAGGAATTAGACACTGTCCCTCCCCGAATAACCATTGCTAATAATTTGGCCAGCCTGGGCAACATAGCAAGACTGTCTCTATGAAGAATTCAAAAATTGGCCAAGCATGGTGGTACATGCCTGTAGTCCCAGCTACTTGGGAGGCTGAGGCAAGAGGATTGTTTGAACCCGGGAGGCGGAGGCTGCAGTGAGCCGAGATGGTGCCACTGCACTCCAGCCTGAGTGACAGAGCGAGACCCTAGCTCAAAAAATAATAATAATTTGAGATGTATCTTTTCAGGTTTTTTTTTAAGTTATATATGATATATATGATGACATTTTGAAGTGTTCTGTGTTACACTGTCATCGGAGGTTTGTCATGCCTGGGAGATTGTGAATAATGCCTCACTTGCAGATTTGGGTCAGACGAGGGCTGAGTGAGAGTGGTTTTAGCCTGGTCAGTGAGTTTCGTAGTCCCTGGTGGCTATGTCACCCCTCTTCATCTGAAGCTCCCCGGTGGTGCCATTGTCTTTCCCTGCTCCCCATCCCCAGCCAGCTCCGCTTCCTGAATTCTCCCCCTCTTTGATGGTCCTACTGTTCCTATGGTGACCTGACTTTGGTTAATAAACATGTCATGAGGCCTGCCTCTTCCTGACTGCATACTAGGCAGTGGGGATGGAGAGGAATTAGATACTGTCCCTTCCTTCAAGAAGAGCCATGGTCTTTGCTCCCTTCACCTTCTTCAGTCATTTGGTAGGGCTAGGATCAGTTCTGCCTCAATGGTTTCATTCCCTCACTCTGTTACACACCTCACCTCCTCTTCCTTGCTCTCCCTGCTCTCCCTGTCTCCATCGTAGGCCTTTCTCACCCTGCCCAGGGCTGTTACAGCCGCCTCTTTCAGCCCTCACTCTCTAGCCTCCAGTTTGTCCTTCGAATCACAGTCAATTCCGTGGCCCCCAGGCACAGCTCCAGTCACACCCAGTCCCTCCCCATCACCTAGGCCAGTGGTTCGCAGCATACACTGCAGACCATGGGGGGTCCCCAAAACTCTTCCAGGAATCTGTGCAGTCAAAATGATTTTTGTAATAGTACTAAGATGTTCTCTGTTGTTGCAGAGCAACAATGGGTAATACTATTGGTGCCTTGGTCCAGGTGGTGATGCTGAACTGTGCTAGTAGCCATTGTATTCTCCACTGCTCTGTACTCCCAGTTTTTTGTTTTTGTTTCTGTTTTGAGATGGAGTCTCACTTTGTCGCCCAGGCTGGAGGGCAGCAGCACGACTTCGGCTCACTGCAACCTCCACCTCCCAGGTTCAAGTGATTCTCCTGCCTCAGCCTCCTGAGTAACTGAGATTAGAGACACCTGCCACCACACCCGGCTAATTTTTGTATTTTTAATAGAGACAGAGTTTTGCCATGTTGGCCAGGCTGGTCTCGAACTCCTGACCTCAGGTGGTATGCCCACCTCAGCCTCCCAAAGTGCTGGGATTACAGGCATGAGCCACCGCACCTGGCTTTTTTTAAATGCCATTTTCACACAAGAATGTCCTTGATGAAGTAGCAAAAATTATCAGTTTTACTGAATTCCAACCCTGAGTACAGATCTCTTTAATATTCTGTGTAACAAAATTGAAATACTCATAAAGCACTTCTGCGGCAAACCAAAGTACAGCACTTGACTCAAGGAAAAGCACGTGTGGGATCCCTTGAATTGCAAGCGGAACTAGCCGCTAGTTTCATTTTTCCGTGAAACAATGGCTGTGTTGGGTGCTGAGGCTGGAAGGTAGACAGGGGCTGGGGGTTGGAGAGCCTCGTGGGCTGTGTTTGTGCCTGGGGGCCTGAGCGCAGCCCACCTTCGTCAGCTTTTTACACGCTGCTCCCCACTTGCATCCAGCCCTTTCCTCCTGCTTGCTGTTTCTTCAGCACACACTTCCTTCTCCCCTTCCATGTCCTTCCTCTTGCCGTTCCTTCCACCAGGAGATGCAGTGACAGCTCTGAAGGCTGCTTGTGATCCCAGAATCAGAACAGAGGGAGAAGATGGACTAGAGTTGTGACCTTTTGTCTCTGGGATTCTCAGGCCCCCAGTCCTGTCTGAGGCCTGTGGGGGATTCCTTGCTGGCACCCTAGCAGGCCTCACCTCCCAGTTTCATTGCAGCGAAGCGAGACGCTGCCACCTGCATGCTGCGGCCCAGCCTCCCCTCACACCAGACTCTTGGGGAAGAATACCTTAGCCCCTTGCAGTATCACCGTGAACAGACTGTCCTTTGATTGAGCTGACTTTACAAGTGACTCCTTTCATCCATCATGTGTTAAATCTGACTAGTGTTTGAGTGTACCCTCTCCTTGTCCCCGCATAATAATGATGCCACAAAACCAATCTTCCCACTAATGGGTCAGGCAGAAGAACGTAGCCTGTACCTGACACCAGAACTGCCATGAAATAACGTGGGTGGACTTTGGTTGGTAACTCATCTTTCATAAGATGACAAAACACAAAATACAAGGCAAGCTCAGAACAGGAAGAAGAAACTTCTGATGAATGAGGTTTTCGATGAATAGGATGATAATAATGTGGTAATAATGCCTTCATATTTCTGGAAGCTGGGGCAGTGCTGCCCAACCTTTTCACATCATAGCACATGCTGAAAATGATACTGTTCTGCATACCTGAGTAACAGCGAGTGACTGGAGGCCTGATGAGGGGATCAACATCTCATTCACAGCACATCAGCAGGGAAGCTCTGTGCTAAGGTTTATAAACAAAAGCATTCTCATTGGTGCCTGGCTACTTTTACTAGCTACCCCCTTCTGCCTTTCAGCATTAAGATTTAAATACAGTGTAATGGTTAAAAGCTTGAATTCTGATCCAGACTAGATTTAGATCTCAGCTCTGCCACTTACGATGTATGTAACCTTGAACAAATCATTAAATCTCTTTGTACTTCAGTTTCTTCATCTGTAAAATCTGGATACTTAGCTCATAAAGTTGTGATAATTAAATAAGTTAGTATATGTAAAGTGTAGCATTGGTGAAGTTGATGGGTGCTGACAAGTTGATGGGTGCAGCACACCAACATGGCACAAGTATACATATGTAACAAACCTGCACGTTATGCACGTGTATCCTAGAACTTAAAATATAATAATAATTAAAAAAAAAAAAAAAGAATGCTGCCTGGCCTACAGTAAGCAGCGTGTGTGTGTGAGTAATGTCACTACTAGGAGTAGTCATGTGAACTCTAATACTGCTCCGGCTGCTACTTCAAAGATGTAAGTGTTCTGGGGTCAGTCTCCCCAGCCACCCCCTCATTGCCTCCTCTGTCTCACATTTCTTGGTCTTGGCCACTTCCTTAGAGTGCCCATGACACTTCCTTTCAGCGTCCCTCAGTTCCTGATCATTTTCTGCATTCTCCATTTGTTGTGGAATGCTCAGCTAGCTGATGCCCGAGAAGGGTCGGTAATTACACTCCTCTGCTTGCTCTCACCACTATTTCTTCTCAAGAAAGCTCTTTTGGCTGAGGGAAATCGCTCTTAAAGGTTGGGGAGACCTTGAAAAGAATTCTGAAGTGCTTGGGAGAGGAGTGTGAGCTAAGTTTGCAGAGCTGAGCTAGCCAGCAAAGTCAGGTTCTTAGTGGGGAGAGGATCATCTCTGGTTTCACGCACAGATATGAAAGCTGATGAGTTCTCTGCAGGCTCTTCAAAATTTGGAGTACAGATCTGGTTTCTCTGGGGACAGTGTGGCTCGTAAGACTGTGGAGAAGTAACACAGTTCTTTCAGAAGGTGGGCCTCGAGGTCACCTTCCGGGGCAGAATGGTGGATGGGTACTTGCATGTCAGGAATGTCCGTGCTGTAGTAGTCCTTCTAGGAAGCCTCCCCAACCCCTCCTCATCTGCTCTGTGAGTTCTCCGTACCTCTCCCCTGCAGGAACCAGGATGATTCTTGGATCTGTATCCTTAACACTTAACATCCTTTCAGTTCCATCAGTGCTTGTTCACTAACAGGTTTTACAAAGAAATGAAATATGCATTCCTATTTTAATGGAGAAAACAAGATAAACATATGCCTAGGAATGGAGACATTGTCATCGATGACGATGAGACTGCTTGTGAGCTAATGTCATCGCTCTTCCCATGTGCTCTGTGCCCCTGCCAGCCAGAGCGATCACCAGTGGCCCCCACTGACCCTCTGTCCCTCCTCCAGGAGGGCCTCAGCCTGACCAGCCCTTCCTTGGTCTGGGACACTCTCTCCCAGGCCCCAGCCTGACCAGCCCACTCATCCCTCAGGTATTGAGGCTTACCTGTCTCTTCCTGTAGTTACCCAACTGGGTTAGCTTCCTCTCGCCTGCTCCACAGCACCTGGTGCCTCCCTGTCCCAGCACTTGTCCTACTGTGTTGAAATTGTTTTAAGTGTCAGCAGCAGATTTAAACGCCCATCAGGGAAGAGACTGGGTCTTCTCTTGTACTCTCATTGTCTAGCAGCAGATGATCAGTAGGTGTCCAATAAATAAAGTATTACTGAAGAGTAAGTCAGTGGCGCTTTCACTTCTAGTCTCGTATTCGATTCTCACAGCAGCCTTGTGACGTGGACAGCCCAGGCCTTCTGCTTACTTCATTTCATATACAAGGAAACTGATCCTCAGAGAAGCTAAGCAGCTTGCTGCAGTTCGTGCAGTGGAGGAGAGCTGTAGCTCTCAGGCTCCAATGTTCAGCACATTTTTTCATTTGTTTTTATAAAATATTTACTTTTAAGAAGTAGCATTTTTAAAAAAATAACATTGGTTGTTTTGAATGATTGTGAAATTAGTATCTTCAAGGCACCATTATTCCTAAAATGTTTCTTTCATCACTGAATGTTGAATTTTAATACAGAGAAATCCAGACACATTTTTAAAAACTAAAATCAGATACCAAATTCAATATGTGTTAGAGAAAGATTATGGTGTACTTTATTTAAAAATAAAACGTGAGTTAAACAAGAATTGCGTAAAAAATAAATTTCACTGTATACAAGTTAAGAGAATATTGCAAGTATAAAGAAGAAAATAAAAATCACCCCATCACATAGAGAAAACTATTATATATTAGAAATGGTCTGGACTTGAAAGAGCAGCATTGAGTTTGAATCCCAGTTAAACCACTAACTAGATGTTTGGCATTGGGTAGGTTATTTAATCTACCAGCTGCCTGCTCTGAGCTTTCCTTACCTGAAATATGGCAAAAATATTTACCTTTTGAGATTATGATAAGAATTAGAGATAATGTGTACAAAATATCCACATAGTTGGCGCTTTTTAAAATTGTATGTGTATTAGCAGTTTTGTGTATTTCCGTCTAGTCTTTCTACTCTATTGGTAGATGCATACATACCTGTGCATGTGCATATGTTTTTGGAAACATATGAAGTATATCTTTGGGTATTTTTGTCGTTGTCGTTGTTGTTGTTTGAGACAGAGTTTCGCTCTTGTTGTCCAGGCTGGAGTGCAAAGGCGTGATCTCGGTTCACCTCAACCTCCGCCTCCTGGGTTCAAGTGATTCTCCTGCCTCAGCCTCCCAAGTACCTGGGATTACAGGCATACACCACCATGCCTGGCTAATTTTATACTTTTAGTAGAGACGGGGTTTCTCCATGTTGGTCAGGCTGGTCACGACCTCAGGTGATCCGCCCACCTCGGCCTCCCAAAGTGCTGGGATTACAGGTGTGAGCCACCGCACCTGGCCATCATTGGGTCTTTACAACAACCTGTGAGATAGACAGGGTGGGTGTGTTTTTAAACCTATTCGATAGATGAGGAAACTGAGACTCTAAGAGGCACAGTAACTTGGCCTTGGTTCTGTTGTAATATCTGAACCAGGGCTTCTGCCTTGCTCGCCTGATGCCAAGCCTGTGTGCCTTCCCTGTCAGCAAGCAGCCTGCTGCTGCTTCAATTCCACTTCCACCTCCACTAATAGACACGTGGTGGACCGCTGAGCCATTCCCAAGAGGAAGGCAAGGGCTGGAGGCAGCGGAAGTGCTAGGAGCCTCCAGACCAGCTGGGATCTGCCTGAAAACTGAGAAGTGCCCACTTCCTCCTCTGTCATAACAGACACATTGCTCAATCCTGTAGCAAGAACCAGGCTTCTGTTTAGAAAGTGAAGGACCTGGCCGGGTGCGGTGGCTCATGTCTGTAATCCCAGCGCTTTGGGAGGCCAAGGCGGGTGGATCACCTGAGGTCAGGAGTTCAAGACCAGCCTGGGCAACATGGCGAAACCCCATCTCTACTAAAAAATACAAAAAATTAGACAGGCACCATGGTGGCACGCGCCTGTAGTCCCAGCTCCTCGGGAGGCTGAGGCAGGAGAATCGCTTGAACCCGGGAAGTGGAGGTTGCAGTAAGTCAAAATCGTGCCACTGCACTCCAGCCTGGATGACAGAGCAAGATTCTATCTCAAAAAAAAAAAGAAAAGAAAGTGAAGGACCTTTTGTATTCTAGACCCTTTTTGGAAAGGGGGTTTATCCAGGAATTAGTAGAATTCCTGAACTGGATTCATAGAACTAAGTAGCCTTACTCTGCATTGTCTGCAGGGCAAAGTTGTATCCATGTTTCTTTCAGGATGTGCACTTGGTACCTAAAGGGCCAGTGTGACATACCCCGCACCTAACAGTATGCACGTCATTTCATATCATTTCCATTTCAGTGCAATTTCTGATGGCTGCTATGTGTCTGACACTGTGCCATGATCTGTAGGAGAAACAAGTGAACAGGGGACAATCTCCGCCTTTAGGAACACAGGGGAGCACTCAAGACCAAATAAAATCAGTGCCCTCATGGAGCTTCTCGCAGGGTGTTTGGGAGCAGAGGATGGAGCACCAACTACTAGTTCTGCTCAGTAACACCCTCCATTTGCATAGCGCCTAACAGACTTCCAAAGTCTTTGTAGAAACCTTAACTCATCTGGGGTTATCAGGGAGCTGCAAAAGGGTGGGGACTATTGAGCTGGGTTTTGGTGACCAAGAAGAATTCCTAGGCCAAGGGAAGCAGGTGAGCCGAGGTGCAGCTTTACTGTGGGGGGGTCCCACTCCCTGAGGCAGCATTTATCCCGTGAGTGTGTGCCTGGTGAATGAAGGCCCCACAAACCTGCTAGTGGACTCTGTGATGGAAACAGTGTGTGGCCAGGCTCCACATGGGCAACTAGCAACGCTTTGGTGAGATTATGACACCTCTCTCTTCCCCCTTTGTAACCAGGGAAACTAAGCATGTTTCTTTCACTTCACCCATCTTCCTACATTTTTTCCTTCCTAGTTTCAGAAACAACTCTCCAAGTTCCGTTTCCAAGGAAAGTCTTAACCATTTGTCCCTTCTGGCGTACCCTCTTTCATTGAAATCCATGCAGAATATACCAGGTACTCTATCTTTGTGTGTGTGTGAAGCCATAAAATCTAATATTACGTGTGTGGCAGTGCTCTGAGGTATGCTTCTCGCACAAGAGGCTCCCTCAGCCCTGCTGTGGTAAAGACCAAGTATAAATTGTCGCTAACAGGGTTTTCTCATTAAAGTCATGTGCCTGAGTGTCCCCTGTGAATTATAATGCCTCCAGTCCTCTTGCTGCTCCTCTGCTCTGCCTGCCTTTCGGCTGTTTTGCTTGTCCTGGGGCCCTCCATCAGAGTGTGGACAGGGGAAGGAGAAAGAGCTGAAACCCAAATCTGTTTCCTCTGCACTGGGCCTGCGGTGCTGATGAGAAAATAGATGCGGACACGGGTTGCCTCTGGACTTCACTCAAGGTCAGGGCAAGAGAGAGAGACAGTGGTTCCTCCTTCTCAGCCTGCTGCCCCGATGGCCAGCACCCCCTCCCTGAGCTCCTGAAGATAAGTGACCCTGCGTTTTATTTCTGCTGAATTTCCCACTGTGTCATACATTTGGGCAGCTTTTTTCCTTTTAATTTACCTTGGTGAGGGTGGGTGTTGAGGTGCTGATTTTTTTTTTTTTTTAGACAGAATCTCGCTCTGTCACCCAGACTGGGGTGCAATGGCGTGATCTTGGCTCACTGCAACCTCCGCGTCCCAGGTTCAAGCGATTCTCCTGCCTCAGCCTCCCAAGTAGCTGGCACTGTATAGGCACCCGCCACCACGCCTGGCTAATTTTTGTATTTTTAGTAGAGACAGGGTTTCACCATGTTGGCCAGGATGGTTTCGAAGTTCTGACCTCAAGTGATCTGCCCGCATTGGCCTCCCAAAGTGCTGGGATTACAGGCGTGAGCCACGGTGCCCAGCCAGATGTTTAATTCTTTGAATTCATAGGGTGTTGCCGTCCCCAGATATATCTTGTGTTTGAAGCTCTTGACTACGGTTATATTTTGAGATCCTCTGTGGATTTCTTTTATCCATGTGTTTATCTGTTCCCCATTCTAAACTATAATTAAAAATGTGCTGTCATCAGATCCCCAAAATGGATGGAAGAATGCGCCTAAATTGAGCTATCAGACACTTGGCTGCGTAACCGTGCTGTCTGGATTGTGGTGTTGAAAGTGCCGTCCTGTGTGCTTTCTCCTGATGGCTGGCATGTACTTGCCTCTGAGAACAGTGTATGGACCTGCCTGGGCACTAACCAGTCTTCCTAGCAGACTTGCTCTTTCTCTGGTCGTATGCCGCCGGATCCTCTGAGAAGAGAGTGGGCCTTTCCCCTCAATGGGCGAAGAGCCAGCTTCCATTTTAAAAGCTCTCAGAAAAAAAAAAGAAGGGAAAAAAAAAAAAAAACCACCAACAACCGAGAGCCTGTGTTTATTGAAGGTTGGTCTAAAAGTCTCTCACGTCGTATACCCCATCAGCACTCGGGTGCCTCTATTTTAGAAGGATGTAAAGGTTTAATCACCCTGGTGGGGATTTAGACCCAGAGACTTCAGAGAAATCTTATTATTTCTAACTGCAGGCAAGAGTATTAAGGCTCCACTCTGGATCAGGGGCATGACATGTTCTATAAGTAATTTATCTTTAACAGGGAAAGGCCCATACTAGAGTGTCTTAGAAACAGGACTGTGATTGGGCACTGGTTCACTGTTCCTCCTTTTCTCTTTCCCATCTCAGTGTCCTGCTTCTTCTTTCCATCTGACCTGTTTCTGCCCAATCTGTGCAGTGTCTGAATGCCTGCCTGACAAATCCTCCCTTTAAGATGGGGAGCCAGGTGCTTGCCAATGAGAGATAATAAGGTTTTTTGCAATAAGTGACCTCATCCAGCAGCCTGGCGCAGACCTGTCAACTGCCGACTTCTGAATGGGCCTTACCTGCAGCCCTTCTGGTGGAGGAGCTATGGGAGGAGAGGATGCCGTAGGCTCCATAGACACTCAAGTCTGTGCTCTTGGACATGAAGTAATTTGGGGCCATTTTGAACCCCAGCCCTATTGCTACCTTCACAGAGGCTGTCTCCACTCCAGGCCATTTGTGCCCTGTGCGCATCCATAGCGATGTTGCTGAGCCTGTGACTCATCTGCATGGACCCCTGCTCGCAACCCCCTTCTTGCCTAGCTCCCTCGGTTTTGCCTTTCTGATGCTGAGGCTGGAGGATGTCACAGGTCATGTTCTGCCTATGGAGTCATTGTTCTGTTTGGAGAATATGGTTTGACCGGTGGCAGATCTAAATCTATGCGCTAATGAGCTTGGTTAAAGCAGGCTTCCGCTGGCTTCTTTTAATCTAGCCTGCCTGTCTGAGCTCCTTTCCACAGTTAATGATCTCCCATAATGGCTTTGCCTTTAGTTTTTCCTCCTAGGTCAAAACAAATCAATAGTCTTCACAGATATTTAAAAACCATCAGTGTAAGCCTCCTGGGTCCTCCCCCGACTACCTTTTTTTTTTTTCCTTCTGGGTAAATTTACAGCTTGATCAGTACAGTGATGTTTCCCTTCCTTCTCCTCATATCTCCCAGAGATGGGCAGCAGCGAACCCCTTCCCATCGCAGATGGTGACAGGAGGAGGAAGAAGAAGCGGAGGGCCGGGGCCACTGACTCCTTGCCAGGAAAGTTTGAAGGTTGGTCACACAACTCCCCTATATCTGGGCCTGCAGCTCCCCAAGTATGGGAGGAGCATTCCGGGAGCCACAGATCCAGATCACAGAATGTGTCAAGTTAGAGCCGGCTGGTGGTTATCTGTGTGGTAGGGAGATAAGATGGGGATGAGGGAGTTTACACAGGGCATTACAGAAAGAGAGCGGGGATGGAAAAAGCTCTCAGATGATGCACTGGCCTCCTGTGAATGGCTCAGGTACTGCTTCCTTTTCAGGGAACAGGAAGACCTATCTATCAGTGACATTGCCTGGGGTCTTCCACCCTTTTTTCAGGTGTGATTCTTCCCCAGCTATTCCTGGAGGGGCTGCTGAGAGATAGAACCATGTAAGAGGAAGAGAGAAATACCAAAGGCCATGGCCGCAAATGAAACTTGAGTCTCCTATAAGCAGAGAGTTTGTCTCTCAGATTATAGCTACTTATGCTGTATGTGTTTGACTACATTTTATAGAGTACATATTGTGTTCCGTAGACACGATACTGGGTCATCAGACATTTTTTGACATTCTCTATGTGCAAGGCACTAGGCTCAGTGTGGGTCCTGTTATCACTGGGCATGTGATGGGGTGATTGGACACTTGTGCAAAGCACCAAAAGCATCAGTAGCTACTCCTAGGAGTAACATGCCCCACTTCATCTGTTTTGTTTTCTTTCATTGTGAGATCTGAAGTAGCTTCCCCTCATGGTCCCTCCTTCCAGCCTTCCAGACACACTAGTGAATTGGCTGTTCTGCAGAGTAGTTCCTATAACAAGCACTTTATGGGTTGGGAATATGGGACCTCCAGTCACCCACCTATCCTGGTATGTGTAAAGGGCTAATGCCAACGTGTCCATTGTGAGAAGCACATCATTTAAAACACTTACAAATAACAGTGTGCCATCTGCTCTTATAAACAACTGAAAGACCAAACTATGATGGAACCAAGAAGGTACTTTCAGCAGGGTTTTTTTGTTTGCCTTTAACTCAAACAGCAGGGGTGTGTGTGTGTGTGTGTGTGTGTGTATGTATGTATGTGTCGGGGATGGGGATCGGGGAGAGACAAAGATCCCAAGGGTTTTCAAATAGTTTCCTAATCAACAGCTCTTTTGCTCTTTCAGTTAACACGAGAGAGTACTTCCTGTTTTTTAAGGACAGTTTGTGCAATGACAGGACTTCTCCTGACTGAAAGTGATAAAATCTAATTCATGGGTGCAATGTCTTCAGCTCTGGCTGTGGTTTCAATGCTAGGTGCCTCAAGAGGAAAGGCTGAAGAGTGGAGGCTGAGTGGGGTGAGGTCAGGCAGCTAGTGCTATGATGGAGATGTGGCGTCCTTTGGAAGCGGCTCAAAGAGCTGTGCCCTTTGTAAGCTTGGGCAGGTCATCTAGATGTTCCTTTAACCCAGATCTATTACTCTGTTAGAACAGCTATGACTCAGTACCCTAAAAACCTCAAGGCATCCTTTGCATCCTACTTCTGTCTATTTCCTGTGGGTGACTTCTGGAGACTTCTCAGAAGCCTCCAATGACTTCCATTGTATGGGGTATAAAATAGAACAGTGTTTTATTCTCCTTTGTATAGCCAGTGCTTACACAGAGCTTGGCACATAATAGGTGGTCAGTAAATGAGTACATGAATATTCATTCAAATCATACCCCTTCTCTGAGGATCCTCCAGATTCTCTGAACAAATTTTTTTTTTTTTTTTTTTTTTTTTTTGAGACGGAGTCTCGTTCTGTTGCCAGGCTGGAGTGCAGTGGCGCTAACTTGGCTCACTACAACCTCCACCTCTCAGCTTCAAGTGATTCTCCTGCCTCAGCCCCCCTAAGTAGCTGGGACTTTAGGCATGTGCCACTACACCCAGCTAATTTTTGTATTTTTAGTAGAGACAGGGTTTCACCACATTGGCCAGGATGGTCTCGATCTCTTCACCTCTTGATCCGCCCACCTTGGCCTCCCAAAGTGCTGGGATTACAGGCATGAGCCACCGTGCCCAGCCTCTCTGAACGTATTTAACCCTTTCCTCCCTCAACTTTTCTTTTTTTTTTTTTACTGTACCTTGTCCCTCTGTGATAGTGTTTACCAATGCCTGGTTTATTCTGGGGTCACCTGTGTATGTGTCTGTCTTCCCCACTGGACTGCAACCCTTAGAGGAGAGGGATCATACATATATATATTTTAGAGATGGGGTCTTGCTGTGTTTGGCCACATTGGTTCTGAACTCCTGGCCTCAAGCAATCCTCCCGCCTTGGCCTCCCAAAATGCTCAGATTACGGGTGTAAGCCCCTGCACCTGGCCTTTATTCCTTACTCTGTTATGCTGTCTGGCACATAGTAGATGTTCAGGAAGTATATGCTGAATTGAGACCCTTTTGCTGACCTCATTTCTAAAATGAGGAACAGGATGCCTTCTACGTGGTCTTGTTGTTGAGAAAATGGGTCCTGAGGTGGTTGGGAAAGCTACTTGTCTTCCTTGTCACTGAGTGCTAGAGTCATCGGGTGCCTGTGTCGTCTGATCAGGGAAGCTGAGCCACAGAAGTTCTTCCCGTCTGAGCTTGCAGTAGGGTGACTCATCTTGTTATTCCTCTCATCCATTTCACCTCTAGATATGTACAAGCTGACCTCTGAATTGCTTGGAGAGGGAGCCTATGCCAAAGTTCAAGGTGCCGTGAGCCTACAGAATGGCAAAGAGTATGCCGTCAAAGTGAGTGTCTCAGCTAAATGCCAGGCTTTACTTTGCAAATAGTCATTTCTAGCTCATCCTGAACCAAATAAATGTTATTTTCCATAAGAATGGGGGCTCTGAAGCTGTATTCACTGGATTCAAATCTTGGTTTCTCTACTTACTTACTGTGTTACCTTGGGTAAGTTACTTAACCTCTGTGTCCTTCAGTTTTCTCATCTGTAAAATGGGTGTAACACTAGAACCTATGTAGAATTGTTGTGAGGATTAAATAAGTTAATACAGGTAAAGTGCTTAGCACAATGCTTGGCTTATAGTAAGTTTCTCATTATTCTGACAAATGAAGTCAACTTCAGGGAGTGGACAATCAGATTTGGAATTAGAAGGCCTACCTGAATTTCTATTTTGACAAACTATAACTGTTTGACTTTGGGTAAGTCATCAAATGTCTGTAAGCCTCAGTTCCTACATCTCTAAATGATGATACCTTCCCTTCTGTCTCCTGAGGCAGTTATGAAGATGAAAATTAAAATATCCTGGGAGAGGTGGAAACACTTTACACGTCACAAAATGCTATACAAGTGTTAGATGTTAGCATGATAGTGAGAATTAAAAACTAAGGTGACTGATTTGGTAACATCTGAATGTTATCTCAGAAAAAATAATGAAAAGAAAAAAAAACTAAAGTGACTGAGCGCTCAGTTTTGGGGCAGGAGAAGTGGCCTCTGGCCTCATTGCTGCCTTTAATTAGCTGCAAGGCCTTGGAGTGGCTCGTGTCACCCCTCTGTGCCTCCGCTTGCCCTCTCCACATGGAAGAACAGCTGGATCTTGAGCATTGGTTCTCAAAATGTGTGCCCTGGACCAGCCTCAGCATCACTTGGGAACTTGTTAGAAATAGAAGCTACCTGGCCCCACCTGAGAAGTACCAACTCAGAAACAGGGGTGGGCCCAGCAATACACATGTTAACAAACTCCCCTAGTGACTCTGGTACTCACTAACCCTTGAGGACTACTGATGTAGGAAGGGCAGCTGTGAACGCTACTGTGTATTAGAAGCCCTTAGAGCTCTAACAAAGCACACAGAGATCCAGGTTTCCAGATGTAGGATAGGGCCTGGATCTCTGTGGCTTGACCAGCTTCCCCATGTGAGTCTCATAGCCACCAAAGTTTGAGGACTACTCACCTAGAGAAAGGGTCTTTTTAAATCCAAGCTGATTTCAAATCACCCACCTGAGCCACCAGGTCAAGTGCCACCTCACACTGGCAATCCCAGCCCAATGGGATCCTGAAGGAAGTGTTTTCTCTTCTTTGAACCAACTTTCCACAGTCCCAGCTGCGGGTTAGAAGGGTGAGCAAGTCTGCTAAGCCACGTTCCTTCCAGCTGGAGTATTGCTTCACATGGTAACAAGAGCACTATCTCAATTTCTTTTGGGAAACAGATCAGTATAAATTACAAGTGATTTTTAAAACATATGCCTAAGTGTAAATAGAAAAATTAGGACAGGCGTGGTGGCTCACACCTGTAATCCCAGCACTTTGGGAGGCTGAGGCGGGCTGATCACCTGAGGTCAGGAGTTCACAGAACAGGGCCCTGGCCAACATGGTGATCAAACCCCATCTCTAACTAAAAATACAAAAATAGCCGGGCGTGGTGCAATGCTGTAATCCCAGCTACTCGGGAGGCGCTGAAGGCAGGGAGAATCCCATGAACCCAGGAGGTAGAGTTGCAACCGTGGGGAAGCCAAGATCACACCACCTGCACTCCAGCCCTGGGTGACCACAGCCAAGATCTGTTCCAAAAAAAAAAAAAATAAATAAATAAATATATATATACTATGTATTAGCTGCATGGGTGCATGGTGCTTCTAATTCCCAGCGCTACTGGAGGCTGAGGTGGGAGGATCAACTTGAGCCCAGGAGGCAGAGGGTGACCAGGATTGCGCCACTGCCTCCACCTCTGGACAACAGAGAGGAGACTCTGTGCCTCAAAAAAAAAAATGATATATCTGTCTTAAATGCGGTAAAAACCACAAACATAAACTGATTTTCAAAGGTTTAAATACGTTTATGGATGAGAGGTTTATTTCTTCAAGGTTGGATAATGGGAGGAAAACCTGGCCCTTCCTCCACATCCCCCCAGCATCTTTGGGGCAAACACTGGACTCTGGCTTGGCAATTCCTTGGTTTCAGCAGTTCTGCCCATGTTTCTTCTCTCCCCTACTCTTTCAAAGCTCCCTAGAGATGGGCTACTTCTCCCAACACGGCTCTACAATACTTAGCTTATTACAGCTTTTCCTACAGGCACCCAACTGATCCTAGAGTCTCAGGGTTGGAATGGAATTTCAAGATAACCTAACCCTGAATTTCCTCTATGACTGCCCAGATAGTTGTCCATGTTCCACTCCCCCATCTCTAGTAGCAAGAGCCCATTACCTCCTCAGAGAAGACTGCTGTGGAAAACTTGCCTGCTAGAAAGTTCTTCATAACTTTGATCTGAAATGCTTGGGGAATGAAGTTGAATCACTTCTGTTCCCCAGCACTACACCTCTCTACCCAGAAAATGGGCCCACTGTGGTTTACAGTCAAAGACTTTTTTAGAAAAGTACAGTTGATCATGGATGTCTGTGCCACATCGTTTTGGAGAAGTCTGAAGTCTCAAGAGGATGTCATTGTGCTGCCCACTGTGCACGTTGGAGCTGTAAAGCAGGGCTAGGCTCTGCAGATTTGCCCACAGGCTCGGTGTGCAGTGGTTTGAGGCTCCAGATGGGTCCAGAGAGCTTTGCAGAGGCAGCCAGTCCCTTTGGAAACCACCCTCCCATCTGTTGGCTTATCTGTTCCTTCAGTCAGCATTTGCCAAGCATCTCAGGTAAAAGGTCAAGTGCCACCTCACACTGGCAATCCCAGCCCAATGGGATCCTGTTGTGAGGATTAAATAAGTTAATACAGGTAAAGTGCTTAGCACAATGCTTGGCTTATAGTAAGTTTCTCATTATTCTGACAAATGAAGTCAAC